TCAAATCAGCTTTTATTCCACAGTGATATATTCTGCTGTACTTCAGCACTGGAGACAAACTCATTAGAAATAAACTGAAGCCATATTCTAGTACCCTGTCTCCATCTGGAGCATCATGAAGTACAAGTACCAGTGATCAGCTTCTTGGATTTTGTATGTGGCTCCTAGGTTGGCTAGAGGTTTCAGTAAGAACTAAGATGAGCTTGGGGTATTTAAAATATAACCTTACTGCCCCCTCTTCAGAAGTCTCCCCGCACCACACACAAACACAAATCTGGAAGACTCCTTTGGACTTAATATGGAAGGGAACTTCAAGATGAAGGAAGTAGAGAAAAACGTTTATACAATTTTTAAATTTAATTAATTTATTTAGAAAAATAAAGATGGGATCTCACTATGTTGCCCAGGCTGGTCTCGAATTCCTGGGCTCAACTGATCCTCCCACCTCAGCCTCTCAAAGTGCTGGGATTAGAGGTGTGAGCTATTGTACCCAGCCAGTTTACACAATCTCGATGTGCCATAGATACACAATAGTGGCTCACATTCACACATACTGTTTTGTTTTGTTTGAGACACAGTCTCATTGTATCACCCAGGCTGGAGTGCAGTGGCATGATCTCAGCTCACTGCAACCTCCACCTTCTGGGTTCAAGCGATTCTCCTGCCTCAGCCTCCCAAGTAGCTGTGACTACAGGTGCACACCACCATGCCAGGCTATTTTTTGTATTTTTAGTAAAGACAGGGTTTCATCATGTTGGCCAGGCTGGTCTCAAACCTTTGACCCCCCCCCCAAGTTATCCACTCACCTCAGCTTCCCAAGGTGCTGGGATTATAGGCATGAGCCACTGCACCCACCCCGCACATATTGTTTGTGGGCAAATGGCTTCTTCGAAGTGGTTTTGAACTCATAGAGATGGACACCTGTTTTAACCTGTCAGTCTCCTTTTAATCTGAACCAGGAGTTGTGTGCACCGTTATATGCACATGTTGACAGCAATGTAGACTTCTCAGGTAAAGGTCAGATGTGTGAACTATATTGCTCATGCAAAGTTCTGTCTGGGATCAAGGATGCCTTCTTTGATATCATTTGTCAGGTCAGAAAAGCACCACACCCAGCATTTGTCCCAGATGATGTATGATTTTCAGAAAATACAAATCCGTGAGAAGAGCAGGGTAGATTAGGGCATGACAGGGTAACAGGAAGGAGTGAAAATTTTTCAATGCCCGTGTTCCATCTTGAGTAACGTTTAATAAGCTGAAGAATCTCTATTCTTGGGAACATACAGTTTGCCCATCTATTTTTGCAGGGTTTTTGCCAACAAGAAAATTAAAACTTTCCATTCAGACTCTTCTCATTGGACTATTGAATGGAATTTTATTTTCCCGAGCTTGTGTAGGCTGTACCTCCTCATTTCAGTCATGCACAGGTATGGTTTGTTTGACCAAGTCCAGATTGTTGAGAAATCTGTGACCTTTGGATCAGGACTCACTTAATAGAGTGAGACAATCAATAGGGTCAGGGCCAAAACTGAGCGAACATCAACGTCAATTGTTTTTTGTTTTTTTTTTTTTTTTTTGGCCAGAATTTTGCTCTGTCTGTCACCTAGGCTGGAGCTGAAGTGGCACAATCTCAGCTTACTGCAACCTGCACCTCCCGAATTCAAGTGATTCTCTGCCTCGGCCTCCGTAGTAGCTGGGACTACAGGCACGCACCACAACACTTGGCTAATTTTTTTGCATTTCTAGTAGAGATGGGGTTTCACCATGTTAGCCACGCTGGTCTTGAACTCCTGGCCTCAAGAGATCTGCCCGCTTCAGCCTCCCAAAGTGCTGAAATTGCAGGTGTGAGCCACTGTGCTGGACCCACATGTCAATTTCTGGAGAGAAAAGGCACTATGGCATACATTCCTACCAAATAATCATACATTGGAGAAGTACATGAGAAAATAAAATATACCCAAAATACCTTGGGATCTTTTTTTTTGGAGATGGAGTCTTGCTCTGTCGCCGGGGTGGAATGCAATGGCGTGATCCTGGCTCACTGCAATCTCCGCCTCCTGGGTTCAAGTGATTCTCCTACCTTAGCCTCCCAAGTAGCTGGGACTACAGGCACATGCCATCACACCCAGTTATTTTTTGTATTTTTAGTAAAAATGAGGTTTCACTATGTTGGCCAGGATGGTCTTGATCTCTTGACCTCATGATCTGCCCACCTCAGCCTCCCTAAATGTTGTGATTACAGGCGTGAGCCACTGTGCCCAGCTGGGATTTGTTTTTTGATAAAGCTTTGTACAGTGTGGATGTCTGTCGACTCTTATTCATCCTTATTTTGATCCATTATGTGTCAGTTCTTTATTTAAAGACTGTCCTTGGTACTTAGTCAGTATTATATATTCTATTGTGAAAAAAGTTAAATAATTGGGAAATTATCTTTTATGTAACAGTGACTTGCTTTCCCATAAAAGATAATGAATCTAAGAAGCCTTCTCCTAAAGAAATGATTAAAACGTTAAGTTAGCACTCTTGGGAAAGAAGAGGGCTCAGGACTCTACCCTTATAAACACTGAATCATGATCTCATTCAAGCCCTACTTGCAACGCTTTGAGTTTCTTCTTTTTATGAGACAGGGTCACCCAGGCTAGAGTGCAGCGGCACAATCTTAGCTCACTGCAGCCTCTTCCTCCTAGGCTCAAGGGATCCTCTCACCTCAGCCTGCCAAGTAACTGGGATTATAGGCACATGCCACCACCTCTGGTTCAATTTTTTATTTTTTGTACAGACAGGATTTCACCAAGTTGCCCAGATTGGTCTCAAACTCCTGAGCTCAAGCGATCCACCTGCCTCAGCCTCCCAAAGTGTTGGGATTACAGCTATGTACCTCCCCACCAGCCAGAGAGCTTAGTTTTCAATACAAAGAAATGTGGCCTCAGAAAGGCCAAGAAGCCCAGCTGGTTTACGGAAGAACCGGATCCAGAACCCAAGAGACTTAATCCAGGGTTTCTTAAGGCATATGGTTTCATAACAAGAAACCATAAAGTTTTGTGAAGGAAGCGTGACTACGACTTCACCAGGTCTAGGTGGTTTGAGAGTCGATACACAGTTGGCAATATCTTCCAGGTACGGAACTAGACCAAGATTACACTACTGGGATTTCTTGCAAGTCTCCAAAGTGCTTTCTGCCCTTCATTTATAAAACCTAGAATTTTTTTTTTTTGAGTTGGAGTCTCGCTCTGTAGCCCAGGCTGGTGTGCAGTAGCATGATCTCGGCTCACTGCAAGCTCTGCCTCCCAGGATCAAGTGATTCTCCTGTCTCTGCCTCCCAAGTAGCTGAGATTACAGGCACATGCCATCACGCCAGCTAATTTTTTTTTTTTTTTAAGACTGAGTTTTGCTCTTATTACCCAGGCTGGAGTGCAATGGCGCGATCTTGGCTCACCATAACCTCCGCTTCCTGGGTTCAAGCAATTCTCCTGCCTCAGCCTCCCAAGTAGCTGCGACTACAGGCGTGCACCACCATGCCCAGCTAATTTTTGTATTTTTAGTAGAGACAGGGTTTTACCATTTTAGCCAGGCTGCTCTGGAACTCCACCCAGCTTGGCTTCCCAAGTATCAGGATACAGGCGTGAGTCACAGGGCCTGGCCTAAAACCTGAAATTCTTAACACACTGTTCCTCGTAGGACTCCATTTCTCTTTCTACCTTAGGCAATCCAATTCTACTCCTGCAGTGCATGAATATATATTAATGACGTTTTTCAAGAGAAAGATCAGTTGCAAATATTTATCAAATGTGTTGATACATGCAAATTAGGCTTTCCCTGCTGCCTTTTCAAAACATAGAGAGAATAAAATGACCTATTCTTAACCCAATGGCTAAGTGTTTGTGTGAACTCGAATAAACCTTCACTTCTCCTGGGCCTCACTGTTCTTATCCACAGAGCAGTTAAACCAGATGACCTCTGGTTAAAATAATGTATGATTTAGTGATATAGTTGGCGGGGTGCGGTGGCTGAAGCCTGTAATCCCAGTACTTTGGGAGGCCGAGGAGGATGGATCACAAGGTCAAGATATCAAGACCATCCTCGTCAACATGGTGAAACCCCATCTCTACAAAAAATACAAAAAATTAGCTGGGCATGGTGGTGCACACCTGTAATCCCAGCTACTCAGGAGGCTGAGGCAGAAGAATTGCCTGAACCCAGGAGGCGGAGGTTGCGGTGAGCCATTGCATGCCAGCCTGGGTAACAAGAGCAAAACTCCGTCTAAAAAAATAAAATAAAATAAAATAAATAATAAAAATAAAAAATAAAAAAAGATATAGTTAATTAAGATTCTACCTGTGCACATATTTAACTTCAAATATGATCAATGTGAGACCATCTTTAAAGAAGTCAAGAAATCTAACAATGAGCCCCGTGTTCAGCATCAGGTAAATGTGTAATCATTAGAACAGGGAATAACCTCACTTTTCCCCATTTATCAAATGGAGTAACACTGGTGGTCATCTCTCAGGGTTGTTTTAAAGACTGAACAAGATAAGTCATGTGAATGTGCTTTGTAAGTTGTATAGTTAGAGAAATTAGAAGTGTAATTATTGGTAAAGGAGATGTTTGAAACACTACATACGTCATCACTGCCAATGGAGGTAACAGGCTGAGTCCCGGTTATTTCTCCTTAGGACGTGTCCTTGTGCCAAGTAAATGGTAGGTTACACTAGGTTACTGTGCAGTGAGTCCTGATCCAGGGAGGGCCTAACTCATGAATTTTTACCAGAAAATAAAGGAATACACTAAAAAAAAAAAACAAACAAAACAGAAAGAACATAGGAAGGAGGGAATTCGCAGGCAGAGGAGGAGGAAAAGCAAAGACTGGCAAAGTTAGGAGAATGAAAGACGAGTTCAGAGGAATGGCCGGGGCGGGCAAGGGAGGGTAGGGCCGAGCGCCTGGCCGGGCTGGGTGGTGGCGACTGCTCGGGGAGCCCCGCCACCTGCCCCGGCGGGGGAGGAGGAGGGGCTTGGCGAAGGGCACCGCGAGGGCCAGATTTAAAAGGGAGATGATCCTAGCTAGTTGATGCCACCAGTGACCTCCGACGCCCAGGGCAAGAGAACGCCACCACGAGGGATAACGCGAGGAAAGCCGGGGCCGCCAAGGCAGTCCCAGGCTCGTGAGGGAGGCGCGCAGACCGGACAGGGGCGTCCTCCGGGCGCCTGGCACCCCGCCACAATGTGCGAACTGTACAGCAAGCAGGACACTCTGGCGCTGAGGGGGAAGCACATCGGGTAAGGGCACCCCGGCCAGGAAGAAAGTGCAGAGAGGGGGCAATACCAGTGCAGAGGGTGGAGAGATGAAGCCGGATAGGGAGCGAGCGAGGGAAGTGAGCTTGGGGGCTTGGCTAGAGCTCGATGCCGCCGCCGTCCTCCGTGCACGCCGCGCCTGTGCCTTCCTTCACCTGCTGGGGCCGCGCGGGCTCCCAGAAACGTTCCTGTAGCCCGGGAACGCTGGGCTCCCCACCCGCTCGAAAGTGCCCGGCTAGCTCTGCACTGGGGGGCTGTCGGCCGCCTAGAGGGTTGGTGGATGACGGCCAATAGCCTTAGCAGACACCGTTCCAAGGATGGGAGGTGGAACGGAGGAGGATAGCGCCCCGCCACCCCCAACCCAACTCGAAAGTTTTTGGACACTGTGAACTCAGAAATACTTTTTAATGATGGCTCTGCAAACAAACTAATCCTGACAATTTTTACTCAAAGGAGCTTTTTGTTGCATGCTTCGTTAAGCGGTGAAGGGTTAATCTAGCCAGTAGAAAACTTGAAACCACCTTCTGTTAGAAAAGCAGAGACTTCATTTAGAAGTTTCTCAATGAAGCCCCTTGGTCTTCCAAGCTGTGTTCTCCCCCAGTCTGCTTGTCTTGCCCTGTCACAAACGACTTGGTAATATACTGGTGACCCTATAAGACTGTCCGGGGGGCTCTGGCCCTCGTCGGGTGTCATATTTCCTGTGTGTCCTCTGTCAAATTACTTGAATTGTTTCTTATATGAAAGTAGGAATAACATTCTACCTCACAGGAGCAAGCAGATAAGATTCATATATTAGTGTTTTGTATGTGCTTTTTAAAAAAATACGTGTACATATAAGTGATGATTAACGACCCCGAACACTGTAAAATCAACCATCTGCAATATTCTCTTGAAATGAACCACTGCAGCCGGGCCAGTGGCCATGAGAGAGCACTTGGGGATACAAGGAAGAAAACAATCAGCATCCTCTTCCGAGGAACGCTGGGCAGTTGCTCAGACTGAAGCTCTCTTCTCAGACTGAAGCTCCTTGCCTCAACTAGAGGAGTTTCTGCATGGTTTGGAAGAGAGTTTGATCTCTCTCGGCCGCGAAATGCAGTCAAAATAGTCCAGTTCTTCCACCATTAATCAATCACCACCCTACTTTTTCTAATCACTCACTCCATTAGTTTTCAATCTTACTTAGATTCCAGTGAATGCCTAATGGTTTCTGACATGAGCAGAACAAATTCTCTAAAAGGACCAGTGTAGCCATGGGATGACTGGAAGAAGGAGAATTTTACCTGATGTCTAATGGCCAAGGTGGAAAGTGTGTTACAAAGACAAAGTGAAGTCTGCAGCTTTCAGCCCACATCCTTAACATATTTTTTAACTTATAGGTATAAACTAACAGCTGAGTTTCTTATTTCCAATAAGAAATTCTTATAAAATATTATTTTCATTTTAGCTGATGATGCTTTAAAAAATCAATATATAACACAATCTCATGCAATTTTTAAATTTGAGGTTACCTATCATTCATAATAATCAAAATTCCTTCCAAACATATGGATTGAATATATTTCTACTAGAACTACCTCCAGTGTATGTGAGGGTGTGTGTGTGTGTGTGTGTGTGCATGCAAAATCACCAAAATAAATAAATGTATTTAACTTTAGTTCTCAAATGTTCATAAAGCCAAGATTAGAAGCCTTTATGATATTTCTATGTGCTAAAATGTATACTACAGACATTCATCCAAATAAAAGTATGGAGGACTTTATTATGCTCAAAAAAACATATTATGGGGTTAGAAGAATAATTGAATTTTTTTCTTCTAAATGATGAGGGTTTCACCATGATGGCCGGGCTGGTCTTGAACTCCTGACCTCAGGTGATCCACCCACCTCGGCCTCCCAAAGTGCTAGGATTACAGGCGTGAGCCACCCCGCCCAGCCTAATTGAATTTCATTATTTAATAATGGAAAATCCATTTGATACAGGACAAGTACCACTCAAAATACATGAAAATGAAAATGATCTGTAAAACTTCCTTCATAGTGTTCAACTCTAGCTTCTTTGTATTTAGGTTTCAGTGCCGTTCATGTATTTATACATTAGATTGAGGGGGGAGACAGAGATGTATACCTTGGGCTGTGGCACAACACAGCCTACTTTCAAATTCTGGTTTTCTCATTTCCTGTCTCTCTAAACTTGAGCCAGTTTCTTAATTTCCCTGTGCCTTGGTCTCCTCATCTATAAAAGTGAGAATGATAATAACCTCTATTTCATAGGATTGCCAAGAGGATTAAATAATATTTACAAAATATGTAACAGTTTCTGACACATTAAGCCCCCCAAAAAAGCTTGCTTTCTTTTTTCTGGTAGAACAAAACTTTTCAAAGGAAAATTAGTTATTGGTTTGTGTGATTAGAACCATCAGAGAGTGGATTCACGTGCCTCTAATAAATTGTCAAATCACGGCACATTTAATATAACAAGCATAAGAAATGTGAACAATGTCATGAATGGGGGATTAACATAAAAGTTTACAGTTTTACATGAAATGAAAGTAAATGTATGTCATCCAGGCTGTGTTTTCCTTTTCCTTTATGTGATTGTACTTTTCCACTGATAGTGACCTTCATTGAGAAGGAAAAATACTGAGAGTAGTCTTACCAGACCAAAGTGTTTCCTTTGATTACTTCTAGGCCCTCATGCAAAGTTTTCTTTGCTTCGGATCCCATCAAAATAGTGAGAGCCCAGAGGCAGTACATGTTTGATGAGAACGGCGAACAGTACTTGGACTGCATCAACAATGTTGCCCATGGTAAATGTCCTCTCATTGAGGGGCTTTGAAGGAAATGTTCATGGAATAAAGCAGACTTGGAACACTTAGTATTTGTCTCAGGAATTGCAGTGGCTGCAGTTCCTTTGCTGAGTGGGCCAGTAGTCGTAGCAGGGAAAATCATAGCAAAATGTGGAAGAGAATGGAACTCAACTTTTTTTTTTTTTTTGAGGTGGAGTCTTGCTTTGTCACCCAAGCTGGAGTGCATTGGCATGATCTCCACTCACTGCAACCTCTACCTCCCGGTTCAAGCAATTCTCCTGCCTCAGCCTCCTGAGTAGCTAGGATTACAGGAATGCACCACCACATCCAGCTAATTTTGTATTTGTAGTAGAGATGGGGTTTCTCCATGTTGGTCAGGCTGGTCTCGAACTCCCGACCTAAGGTGATCTGCCTGCCTCGGCCTCCAATAGTGCTGGGATTACAGGCGTGAGCCAACGCAACTGGCCTCCAGGAATTCAACTTTTGTTTGTTTGCTTGCTTCATAATTCCTCTTATTCCTAGGCACTTAGAATTGTAACTTATTTCTTGGGCTTTTGTTTCATAAATTTTAGTGGGACACTGTCATCCAGAAGTGGTCAAAGCTGCTCTGAAGCAGATGGAACTGCTAAATACAAATTCTCGATTCCTCCATGACAACATTGTTGAGTATGCCAAGCGCCTTTCAGCAACTCTGCCGGAAAAACTCTCTGTTTGTTATTTTACAAATTCAGGGTATGTTTCATGATTTCCCACCCCTCCCCATTCCCACTAAACTTTGTCTACACTTTCACATGAATCTTTCCTTTTGATTCCTGGTGGAGCATGTCCAAAAAGGTTTGCTGAGTTTCTTGCCATTCACAAAGTGATCACACATTAGGGGCCTGGCCTTTCTGGTTCTCCCGCTTTGTTGCATGACTGAATCTAACTGGTCCAATGATGCTCACCTCTTCAGGCAATGCAATAAGTAGCTAAAGAGTCAATAGGCCAAGATATTTTTTCAATGAATGTATAAGGAAATTTAGCCATAAAATAACTTCTAAACAAGCTACAACTTTTAAAAGATTTTTTTATTGTTGAAAACTTAGCATATTTCCCCAATTACAAACACAAGAAAAGAAGGAATAAGAAAACTCAGATACATATCAAGTTTTTTTTTAATTAATTAATTAATTTTTTTTTTGAACTGGAGTCTCACTCTGCCATCCAGGCTAAAGTGCTGTGGTGTGATCTCAGCTCACTGCAACTGCCGCCTCCCAGATTGAAGCAATTTTCCTGCCTCAGCCTCCCGAGTAGCTGGGATTACAGGCACCCACTACCACACCTGGCTAGTTTTTGTAATTTTAGTACAGACCAGGTTTTGCCATGCTGGGCAGGTTGGTCTCAAATTCCTGACCTCGGGTAATCCGCCCACCTCAGCCTCCCAAAGTGCTGGAATTACAGGCTTGAGCCATCATGCCCCACTTGAGGCATTTTTTTGAGATGGAGTTTTGCTCTTGTTGCCCAGGCTTGAGGGCAATGACGCGATCTTGGCTCACCGAAACCTCTGCCTCCCAGGCTCAAGTGATTCTCCTACCTCAGCCTTCCAAGTAGCTGGGATTACAGGCATGTGCGACCACACCTGGCTAATTTTGTATTTTTAGTAGAGACGAGATTTCTCCATGTTTGTCAGGCTGGTCTTGAACTCCTGAACTCAGGTGATCTGCCTGCCTTGGCCTCCCATTGTGCTGGGATTACATGCATGAGCCACTGCCCTGGCCAGGAGAAGCCCCAAGAGGGGTAGGATGGGTGGGAGGGACGCATATGGGTTCACCAGCAGCACCTCAGGGTCAGTGTGGGGACCCTGGGGCCAGTGCCAATGCGCACAGGCTGCTGTCCCCACCTAGGCACCTTGGGTTGCCTCAACTTTTTAACTTAGTTTTTTTTTTGTTTTTTTAGTGACAGTGTCTCATTATGTTGCCCAGGCTGCTCTTGAACTGGGCTCAAGCAATCTGCCCACCTTGTCCTCCCAAAGTGCAGGGATTACACTTTGAACCACTGTGCCTGGCTCCAAGTTCTGTAAATTCAAATCATTATATACCCATTCTCTTATATATCCAGACTATTATGCAGATATTCAGAAGTATGTTTTTGCAAATGCATGCTGAAATATTGGCTCAAAATGCAATATTAGGGGAAAACTATATAGATATCCAGTAGAAAATTCTATTTTTAAAGTGAAATAAATATATATGAAACTTAACTATTGGACATTCTGTGAATATTTGATTAAATGGCTTTTTGTAATTCACTTTTCTTTTTTTTTTTTTTAAAGACAGGATGTCACTGTGTTGGTCAGGCTGGTCTTGAACTCCCGACCTCAGGTGATTCACCCACCTTGGCCTCCAAAGTGTTTGGATTACAGGCGTGAGACACCACACCCAGCCTTTTTTTTTTTTTTTTTTTTTTTCTGATTCACTTTTCATTAAGATATTTTAAAACCAAATTTGTGGCCAGTGTGGTGGCTTATACCACCGTGCCCAGCTCAGCTTCCCAAAGTGTTGGGGTTACAGGCATGAGCCACCACACCTGGCCTAATTTTTGTATTTTTTGTGGAGATGGGGTTTCACCCTGTTGCCCAGGCTGGTCTTGAACTCCTGGGCTCAAGCAATCTGCCCACCTCAGCCTCCCAAAGTGCTAGGATTTGTAGACATGAGCCACCACACCCAGCCAAAACTAATATTATTTTTTTTAATTAAAAAATTATTTTATTATTATTTTTAGAGACAGGGTCTTGCTAGGTTGGTCAGGTTGGTCTTGAACTCCTGACCTCAAGAAATCTTCCCACCTTGGCCTACCAATGTGCTAGGATTATAGGCATGAGCCACTACCACCATGCCTGGCCAACTAATATTCTTAAAATAAAAAAGTCTTCAATCCGAATCCTGGCTCTACTTCATATTAGCTATGAGATCTTACCTGATTACTCAACCTCTCTGAGGCTGTTTTCTTACCCATAAAAAGGAGATAGCAAGACTTATAACGTTTTTATGAGAATAAATACAAGTAAAATCCTCAGCATGATGTTTAGCAGATAGTAAACATTCCACTTATGATTGATTATTTTCTTCCTTTGTCTGGGTATATTTAGGTTGTCTGAAATATATAGGAAAAAATTTGATACTCATTTCACAGGTAAGGAAGCTAGTCAAATGACAGGTAAATACGACATAGGTTGGTAGCCAAGCTAATGGGCACTCAGCCTCCCATTCCTCCTGTGAAAATCAGGTTTAATGACAGCTTTTTCATGTTCTCAGTCATGATGTGGCTGAACTGGACTAAAGTCTGAATTGGGTAACGTATCCTTAATTTTTATTGGGTTTATTCTATATGTCTCATTCTTTATTGAAAACATCTAGGGAAACTTGCATTAGAAGAGTAAAGTGGGCGGGCAAGATAGGGGGAGGAGAGGACTTCAACTTATTATTTTGTAAGTTTCTAAATAAATGTAATCTAACAACTTTTGTAATTAGCATCCTAAATGTTTTTTGGGGCTTTTTGTTTGTTTGTTTGTTTGTTTGTTTTGGAGATGGAGTCTTACTTACTCTGTTACCCAGGCTGGAGTACAGTGGTGCAATCTTGGCTCACTGCAACCTCCAGCTCCCAAGTTCAATCAATTCTCCTGTCTCAGCCTCCTGATTAGCTGGGATTACAGGCGAAGGCCGCCATGCTGGCTAATTTTCTGTATTTTAGTAGAGACAGGGTTTCACTGTGTTGCCCAGGCTGGTCTCTAACTCCTGGGCTCAGGCAGTCAGTCCTCCTCGGCATCCAAAGTGCTAGGATTACAGGCGTAAGCTACCACACCTGATACATCGTAAATGTTTTAAAAAGAGATTGTGTCACACTGTCCTCTCTCTGTGTGTTATCCTAATAGATCTGAAGCCAACGACTTAGCCTTACGCCTGGCTCAGCAGTTCACAGGCCACCAAGATGTGATCACTCTTGACCAGTAAGTCTTGGACACAAGATTTCTAAGCAAGAAGCTTTTTCAGAGACAAAGTTGTATTGATCCTATCCATACTAATACCATAAACACATGTGAAAGAGGACAGATATATGGAGCAATGTTTTAAAATTATGTATTAAGCTATCAAGGCCAGCTTAAATCCAGAGGGATACTTAATTCCTTCTAAGTACCAGGAAGTGGGAGGGGTTCTCTTGGGTACTATAGGGGATGTAGCTTCATGGAGTTTGCATGAACCATGGCTTACTTTTCACACACATTTATTTAGCTGTTATTAACATGTAAGTAACTCAATAATTTTCCAAATAAAAATACAGTGAATTTCTGAAAAATTAAAGCATTCACTTCACTACCGTGATTATTCACTGTCACTAATTTTAAAGATAACAATTTAGAACAAATTTTAAAGAAAGCAAGCAGCCAGGTAAAATTTAAAACTTTTTCATTAGCTTATAATTATTAACAGTCACTATCTAATCTTACCTCTCAATTTATTGAATTTATTCATTACATTTTTATTTATTTACTACATTTTAATAATGTATTATTCAATGAATTTATTACATTTTAAACAAGAAATCTGGCAATTTCCATCTTTATTAGAGTTTTTGGTGTTTTTTTCTTTTTTTTTGAGACAGAGTCTTGGTCTGTCACCCAGGCTGGAGTACAGTGGCATGATCTCTGCTCACTGCAACCTCCGCCTCCTGGGTTTAAGTGGTTCTCCTGCCTCACCCTCCTGAGTTAGCTGGGATTACAGGTACCCAAAGCCACATTTGACTAACATTTTATATTTTTAGTAGAGACAGGGTTTCATTACGTTGGCCAGGCTGGTTTTGAACTCTTGACCTTAAAATGATCCGCCCACCTCGGCCTCCAAAAGTCCTGGGATTACAGGTGTGAGTCACCAAGCCCAGCCTAGGGATTTTTTTCTTTCAAACTTTTGTCTACTCCTCCACCCCACCCCACTAACCTCAGATATAGAGGGTGACGTTAACTATGCACCTCATTTCATGCCTTTCCCAGTTGCTTTTGGGAACTTACTCATAAATTCTTTGCTAAGGCTGATGTCCAGAATAGTATTTCCTAGGGTTTCTTCTAGGATTTTTACAGTTTTAAGTCTTAAATTGAAGTCTTTAATCCTTGTTGAGTTAATTTTTGTATATGGTAAAAGGCAGGAGTCTGGCTTCATTCTTCTGCATATGGCTAGCCTCTATCTTAGTTCTTAAAAAGACCTGCTTTTCCTTCTCAACTAGTATTTGCCTAATATTTGCAAGTGGACATACTTTAGAAATCATCCCAAACAGAAACAGAGGCCCATTCTGTGATATAAAGTTGTTTTTAAATTTAGTAGAATGTAACACATATTCTTTTAACACATTTAAAAAATACATGCATGTAAAGTGTTGCATGAAGATATAGAAAACAATTTTTCACATTTAGACAATCTAATTTAGCGATATAATCTAAATACATCAGTTTTTCCCAACAAAAAAGAAATTGTCAATGAGGACACATGCTTGGCTTTCTGGATTTTATTACATGCAAAAGAAGAATTGGACACATTAAGGGCCAGTCTTGCCATGAAAAATTAGATTCCATATAGTTAAATCTGGCACCAATGTTGAGATTCTCCCTGGATGGATGCACATGGATTAAACACAACACTTGTTTTCATATATTTGAAAACATCTCTCTTGGAGTTATTTTGGTTACTGTTTTTTTTCTTTTCAGTGCTTACCATGGTCACCTATCATCCTTAATTGAGATTAGCCCATATAAATTTCTGAAAGGAAAAGATGTCAAAAAAGAATTTGTACATGTGGTAAGTGTCTTAGAATCCTAATCTGAATGTTAGTACTGAAAGAATGCTTCATGATACAGCTCAATACTTTCATCTAAATGAACCGTGAACAAGACACTAAAATCAGGAGCAGTTATGTGGCTTGCTAAAGGTCAAAGGGCTAAATAATGACAGAATGTGATTTAAAATCTATCGATGAGTATTACAATAGGCAGATGAGCTTAGTAGTTGTTCAGAGCTATCATTTTATTTTTCTTGCTTCTTCATCTTCAGTTACATTTTCTATCACAGATGCCAGCTCAACATTCAGAATTGAACTAAGTGTGTATGAATGTCTTTAAATTGTTCTTGGCCAGGCACAGTGGCTGACACCTGTAATTCCAGCACTTTGGGAGGCCGAGGCAGGCAGATCACTTGAGGTCGGGAGTTCAAGACCAGTCTGGCTAACATGACAAAACTGTGTCTCTAGTTTTAAAAAGTACAAATATTAGCCAGGCATGGTGACAGGTGCCTGTAGTCCCAGCAACTTGGGAGGCTGAGGCAGGAGAATAACTTGAACTCAGGAGGGGAGGTTGCAGTGAGCCAAGATCATACCACTGCACTTCAGCCTGGGTGACAGAGCAAGTCTCCATCTCAAAAAAGAAAAGAAAAGAAAAAAGTAAATTGCTCTGTATAATAATGTTAACTTATTATATAGCTTTATTAAGTAAAATAAAGAAACCAGCCAAGTTGTTGAAAAGTGAAATATGCTTAGTGTGTTGTCTGAGGATCAGTGTAATTTCTTTTTTTCTTTTCTTTTTCTTCTTCCTTTTTTTTTTTTGAGATGGAGTCTCACTTTGGTATCCAGGCTGGAGTGCAGTGGCACCATTGAAACCTCCGCCTACCAGGTTCAAGCGATTTTTCAGCCTCAGCCTCTCAAGCAGCTGGGATTACAGGAGTACACCACCAAACCCTGCTAATTTTTGTATTTTTTGTAGAGACAGGGTTTCACCATGTAAGCCAGACTGGTCTCAAACTCCTAACCTTAAGAGATCTGCACACCACAGCCTCCCAATGTGCTAGGATTACAGGCCTGAGCCACTGCTCCTGGCCGAATTTGTTGAGAATCGTCAATACTTTCTTTCAAGATTTTAAGATCTGGAGTAAGTGCTAACGCACTCTAGTTTTCTGAATGATTACGATTTGTAGTATTGTTGATAAGTGTCGACTCATTTTAAATATAGACTAGTTAATACAGTTTCCATTCACTGAGATTTTTGAATAGTATCATCACACTTGTTGATTTGAATTTTCTATTTATGTGAACAGGGATACGGTCTTGATATATAATAGTCTGGAAGCAATCCAAGCTTCTGTTCACAATTCAAAGATGTCAATTCTTCACAGAATTTAGAAAAATGTTAAGGAGAAAAAAGAACAGAAAAACCTAAAGTATCTTAAGTTTACATGATCACCATGTTAACATGTCCTTCTGAGGAAATGCCTTTTTTTTTAAGGGTTGTCAAAAGGACAAATTACAAGCAACCACATTATTTAATGTTTTCAGGCACCAACTCCAGATACTTACAGGGGAAAATATAGAGAAGACCATGAAGACCCAGCCCGTGCTTATGCAGATGAAGTGAAGAAAATCATTGAAGATGCTCAGAGCAGTGGAAGGATGGTTTGTATTTATAGCTTTGGAAACCTTTTAACATCTTTCATAAAAGGGATTGAAACTGTTGGAATTCACTGAAGAGATGCATTATTACAATCATGCCTCTAAGACTGTCTATTTGTATTTCTCTTGGAAATACAATCACTATCCAGTTCCAGAACTGGTGGCTTATTTCTGACCTTTTCAGTGGTATGCAGGGTCTAGTCTAGAAGGATAGGGGAAGAGAGAATTTTAAAAGGTGGTAACTCAAGGATGGATTATTTCAACTGATAATAACACCAGGGGTCATTACATGGTGAAGGGAAGAGAAGAGGCAAACAAAGTAGCCTTGGGACCTCAGGACCAATGCAGACCTCCAGACCCACAAGGGAGCCTTGGTGCTTCTCTTGAACTTCAACCTTCTTGAAGCCATAGAGCCTGGGGGTGGTTTGCACCTGGGTAAGCCAAGGCAGAAAATGTTCTTCCAATTTGGGCCTGGACTTCTAAGACAGAAACAAAATCCTCGAGCAGGAAAAAGTGTTTTCACTTTCTCAGTCATCACCCTACTGTCTTCAGCTTAATGTTCAACTCTCAGCCCATCTGTAGGTTACTTATGTGGATTTTGATGCAACTTGACAATATTTTGCCTTAAAACTGGCTTATGGCATAGACTTGGCTATTGAAAAAACAATGTTAATTGAAATAAAAATGAGGCCTTTTCTTTTTCTAATTAACTCAAATATTTTTGTCTTCATGACTGGAGAGTCATTCACATTTCTTAACTGCTTCTTTTTCTTTCCAACCATTTGTTTTTCGTAGCTTCTGACGGGAAACATCTGTGCAAGTAGACCTAAAGTTCTACGTGTTGTGGGGAGCTTCATACTCTTCCTCTTCAAATGTGATCTACACCTGTTTAAACAAATGTCAATTCTTCACAAACACTTTTAGGAAAAAATTTAATGCTTTTAGGCAAACAATGCTTTTAGGAAAAAATTTACATTATTTACATTAACAAGATCTTATGGACCCACTGCTGCTAAAAGAGGGTTTGAATAATTTTTGAGAAGATTAGCATTCAGCATTTATTGGATTGTTGTTATCATATTAGCAGTGATGAAAACAATGAACGAATATAAACTCAGTCCTTCAGAATATTAGATGTGCTTGCAAAGTCATGGAATTTTATAGCAGAAATCTTGAGTCCAACAGCCTCATTTTGCAGCTAAGAAACTAAATATCTAAAAAGTGAAAGATTTAGTCTAAGATCATACAATTATTAAGGGGTAGTCTCAACTAGAACCTGGGTTCTCTTGATTTCTTATGTCACATGCTTTGTGCTTTCTCTTCAACATTATCTATTTCCTACTTCCCTTTTCTTAGCCTCTAGGATGCTTTATCTGTAGTTTCTATTGTTAATTGCCCACTGTTGAGTTAAGCGTGGTTTAGGGCGAAACCTAGAAATACAGCATAGTAACTATAGTGTGTGTCCACCAACCACCCTCCCATTTCCATGGTGCGAATTCCAGCCTCAAGTGGCCCTACTTTACAAGCTTAAGGAACGGGCATCACAGTGATGCCTTTGGAACCTAGATAATGTTTTTTACAGGTTCATAATCAAAGACTAATAAAAATATCAGTCATATTCAGTTTATCCTAATGAAACCGCTGCATGTAATGATGGAGAAATGGACGTTGCCCTCCAGTCTCCTCTATTTCTCATGGTAGCTTTATTGGTATCCTAGATTTTCAGAAGTTAATGATTTAAATCAATTGCTTTACCAACATAGACACCTTTTCCTTTTCCTTTTCCTTTAATCAAATAGCCAATTTGCCACTTGCCATTCCTAGTTCTATTCCTAGCCATTTTTAAAATAACCTGCTCTGTAAGATATCCTCTTTGGGGGGAAGGGGTTGTAGGGGACCTAATGGACTTTGACCCCATCTTCTCTTGTATAGATTGCTGCCTTTATTGCTGAATCCATGCAGAGTTGTGGCGGACAAATAATTCCTCCAGCAGGCTACTTCCAGAAAGTGGCGGAGTATGTACTTGACTTGGGCCTTTTTGGTCAAACTGAGAGCATGGTGACAATTCTGTAGGGCCATACTAGCTGTTAAAATATTAAAATAATTACTGATTAGCTGGTAAATAGACAAACCCGAGTGCCTGCCATCCCAGGACTCCTGGATGCTCTCTCAGCCCTCCCCAAGATCCAGCAAGTACAAGGTTTACACATGGTCCAACAGCGGGGGTTCAGAACTCCACTCCAGCCCCAAGCCTACATCCTCTCTGATTGACTAATACCAAATCTATATTAGTCAGGGTTCTCTAGAGGGACAGAACTATCCAGAGGAGTTTATTAAGTATTAACTTACATGATCACAGGTCCCACAACAGGCTGTCTGCAAGCCAAGGAGCAAGGACAGCCAGTCCAAGTCCCAAAACTGAAGAACTTGGAGTCCGATGTTTGAGAGCAAGAAGCATCCAGCGTGGGAGAAAGATATTGGCTGGGAGGCTACATCCATCTCTCCTTTTCATGGTTTTCTGCCTGCTTTATATTCACGGACAGCTGATTAGATTGTGCCCACCAGATTAAGGATGGATCTGCCTTCCCCAGCCCACTGGCTCATATTAATCTCTTTTGGCAACACCCTCACAGATACACCCAGAATCAATACCTGATGTCCTTTAATTCAATCAAGTTGACAGTATTAACCATCACACAAACCTGCCCAATTAGTAAATACTTGAAGATTAACGCTATTAACAACTACTTGTTTGATTCTTTCTCTTCCCACTTAAAATAATGAAACAGGACTGGGTGCTGTGACTCATGCTTATAATCCCAGCACTTTGGGAGGTCAAGGTAGGAGGATCACTTGAGGCCAGGAGTTCAAGACCAGCCTGAGCAATATAGCAAGACTCCCTCTCTACAAAATTTTTAAAAAAATATTATCTGGGCATGGTGGTGCATGCCTGTAGTTTCAGCTACTCAGGAGGCTGAGGTGGGAGGATGGCTTGAGCCCAGGAATTTGAGGTTACAGGGAGTTTGATCCCACCACTGTACTCCAGCCTGCACAACAGGGTGAGACCCGATCTCTTAAAAAAATTAAAAATACTGCAATATAGAGCTTACTTTAAGCAGCACAAACCCAAATACTATGGAATATATTTCATCTAAAAATTATGTGATTATACTGTAAACTCAATGATATATATGTGGGATTTAGAGTATTGAAATGTTTTTAACAAAAATTAAGGCTTCAGGTTAACAATTTTTTTTGTCGTCAATAATTGGCATCTTTGTGGGTGGGTCTGGGGACTCTCAGTGACCTGAAGGCATTAGACTGCCACTTTGCTTTTCAGGTATATACACGGCGCAGGGGGTGTGTTTATAGCTGATGAAGTTCAGGTGGGCTTTGGCCGAGTTGGGAAACATTTCTGGAGCTTTCAAATGCATGGCGAAGACTTTGCGCCAGACATCGTCACAATGGGAAAGTCTATGGGCAACGGCCACCCAGTGGCGTGTGTGGTAACAACCAAAGAAATTGCAGAAGCCTTCAGTAGCTCTGGGATGGAATATTTTAATACGGTAAATTTTGGTCTCCATCTTTAATGCTAAGAAGGAAAAATAATGCATGTTCTTGTATTTTTTGCCAATGTAGTGAAGAATAAAGCTCAGTATTGCCAGCTAACCACCCAGAACTCTGGCCAAACTTTTTTTTTCTTATTTTAATAAAATATCATATATATATGTGTGTGTATATATATATATGTATGTGTATATATATATATATATGTATATATATAAAAAAAGTTTATATATATATATATATATATATATATATATTTTTTTTTTTTTTTTTTTTTTTAACTTTAAGTTCCAGGATACATGCACAGAATGTGCAGATTTGTTACATAGGTATACTTGTGCCATGGTGGGTTGCTGCACTTATCAACCCATCATCTAGGTTTTAAGCCCTACGTGCATTAGGTATGGCCAAAATTCTATCTAACTAGATTTCATTCTATCTATCTGGCAAAATGCTCCTTGTATTTTCCCTTGTATATCTTTACCTATCCTAAAACAGTCTTATTAATTTTTCCAATGATAGATGGTTGCCCTGCTAAATTCTAGAGGTTATGATATTTTCATTTCTTTGTTTCATACCATACTTGAATTTCCAAAACACTTTTAAAGTGTTTTGTTGACTCAGTACTATAAATGTTATAAGGCTGCCATAAGAGATACTACATTTTTATCTTAGGGAAATTATATTTCTTTGCTTTATTCCCATAAGCTTTAAGCTTGCAAAAATTATCATAGTTTGTGTAGTATATATAATAGAACTTGTTACAGCTAAAAGTAAGATTCAAATCCGGGGACATGCCAGGTATGGTGGTTCACGTAATGCCAGCACTTTGGGAGGCCAAGGTGGGCGGATCACGAGGTCACGAGTTCCAGACCTGTCTGGCCAACATGGTGAAACCCCATCTCTACTAAAGATACAAAAATTAGCCTGGCATGGTGGTGCATGCCTGTAATCCCAGCTACTCAGGATAGTGAGGCAGGAAAATTGCTTGAAGCTGGGAGGCGTAGGTTGCAGTGAGCCTAGATCCTGCCATTGCACTCCAGCCTGGGCCACAGGGCAAGACTCCATCTCAAAAAAAAAAAAGAAAGTCTGAGGACATAAATTATTTTGAGAAAATTGTCATTACTTAGCTGTTTTTACTCAGCTCTTCAAGGGCAGGAACCCCTGTTTCCCTCAGTGGGTAACACTATGAAATCCTTAATTCTCAACATAATGTCTGGTGTTTGTTTGGATGAGCAAATAAATTCTCTGGTAGTCCTACATATCAGTTACGCAGCTTGGAGAATATAATTTAGAATGAATTTTCACTCAATCCTGCATAAATAGAATCATGCTCTATTCTAAATATGAGAAACTAATATTACAAGGAGCATTTTATTAAATTATATCTTCCTTTAAGTATGTATGTGTCAGATTTCTCATGGATGAGGGAATATCGCCAATTCGACTGGTTTATTTTCTAAGTTGTCCTTTTTCTTATAGTATGCAGGAAATCCAGTATCTTGTGCTGTTGGTTTGGCTGTCCTGGATGTAATTGAAAATGAAGACCTCCAAGAAAATGCCACCAGAGTAGGGAATTTTCTCACTGAGTTACTGAAAAAACAGAAGGCTAAACACACTTTGATAGGAGATATTAGGTACGTTCATTATGAAGTTGTCATGTAGTTACCATTTTTTCAAAATCATAATAGCTTATAGCCTGAGCAACATGGTGAAATCCCATCTCTGTTAAAACTACAAAAAATTAGCCAGGCATGGTGGCACACACCTATAGTTCCAGCTACTTGGGAGGCTGAGGCATGAGAATAGCTTTAGTAGCCTGGGAGGTGGAGGTTGCAGTGTGCCGAGATTGTACCACCACACTCCAGCTTGGGTGATAGAGTGAGATCCTGTTTCTAATAATAAAAGTAATAGCAGCTTGTATTTCATCTTATAAGTTTACAATATAACTAAATATAGAAAACACCAAAAAACAGAGATAACAGAAATTATTCTTATTCTAGAATCCACTGTTAACATTCGTGTGGGGTCAGGTGTAGTGGTTCACATCTGTAATCCCAGCACCTTGGGAGGCAGAGGCAGGAAAATTGCTTGAGCCCAGGAGTTTGAGACCAGCCTGGGTAACATAATAAGATCTTGTTTCTATTAAATAAATAAATAAAACAAAAAATATTTGGATATATGTCTTCCCTGACTTACACTTTTTAAATAAAGTTAGGATAATGTCAGCTCCCAAAAGATGAAAAGAAGGAACTAATGTAACTCTAAATGATTTATTGAAAATTATTTAAAGTGCTATTCTGAAAAGCTGGATATTTTTCATATATGTATATTTCATATATATGTCAACATTTACCATCATGAACATCCTGAGAAATTAAATAGCATGAAAGGGTTGTTTTTAAGCCCTTTTCTTTTATAATTGAGAAAAGAAAACTGGATGACAAAAACTAATTTATTTTCAAAAGTACAAACAACTGTAAATAGACAGGTATCTTGGATTAGTTAGAATTAACCTTTGAAATTAAATGGAAGTTTGGGGATAGTGTTAACTTTTTGTGACCATGAAATGTTGGACAGATTGTGTGTCAAGTTTTCCTTCACCTCTCACAGGGGCATTGGCCTTTTTATTGGAATTGATTTAGTGAAGGACCATCAGAAAAGGACCCCTGCCACAGCTGAAGCTCAGCACATCATCTACAAGTAATTCACCCCACACCCACCTGTTTGGTATCTTGGCTCCATAATGCCTACCCACCTGAAAGCTTGTTTGGCTTCCTCCCATCCCTCTGAAAAAGGAAAGTTTAAAATATGTCCTATTTATAATGTGGGCTCCTTAAATGCAGAATACTTAACTGCTCTATGTTTAAATCATTCGTCAGTAAGTAACTGTAGTTATCCTTTGCATGCACTCACATGCATTTCCTGCACAAATTAGGATGAAAGAAAAACGTGTGCTTCTCAGTGCTGATGGACCTCACAGAAATGTACTTAAAATAAAACCACCTATGTGCTTCACTGAAGAAGATGCAAAGTTCATGGTGCACCAACTTGATGGGATTTTAACAGGTGGGTCATGGATCTTTAAGATGTCTCCTTGTTCTCTCTCCCAGACCCGCCCCCCAACCCCTGGCCTAGCCATACCGATCGTATGCATCTTGTTATTCATGATGGAAGAGAGGCAGGGAAGAAATAAATGTGTAACTTTCCATTTAGGACTAGAAAAAGATAGCTGAAAAAATAACTACGTGGACTCTTAAACTGAAATTTTCAGTTTGTACTCATATAACTCCAAATATAAATTTTTGCTGAAAGAGCATACTGTTTTGTCATTTATTTTTCCATTGGACTAGCTAGCCTATTTAAAAGTGCATGTCCACATTGTGCCATGCACCACAAATACTGCAGTGTATAGTATTACAGCATTGTACCATTAATACATGAAACATTCCTAATAAAAAATTATAGGCTACAGTATGACAGTTCTTTGCTATATGGTGAATCGTTTAACTTTGCAGGTGTTTTTTTTTTCTGAGTTAGAGTCTTGCTCTGTTGGCCAGGCCAGAGTGCAGTGGCGCAATCTCAGCTCACTGCAACCTCCGCCTCCCGGGTTTCAGCGATTCTTCTGCCATAGTCTCCCAAGTAGCTGGGATTACAGGTGCGTGCCACCATGTCTGGCTAATTTTTGTATTTTTAGTAGAGACAGGGTTTCACCATGTTGGCCAGGCTAGCGCCGAACTCCTGACTTCAGGTGATGCACTCAACTCAGCCTTCCAAAGTACTAGGATTACAGACGTAAGCCACAGTGTCCAGCCTAACTTTGCACTTTTAATTTTTAATTTTTAATTTCTTTTCCATAGATAGAGTCTTGCTCTGTCACCCAGGCTGGAATGCAGTGGCCAGATCTCGGCTCACTGCAACCTCTGCCTCCCAGGTTCAAGCAATTCTGCCTCAGCCTCTTGAGTAGCTGGGACTACGGGCACCCACCTCCATGCTCAGCTACTGTTTGTATTTTCAGTGGAGATGGGTTTCACCATGTTGGCCAGGCTGGTATAAAACTCTGGCCTCAGCCTCCCAAAGTGCTAAGATTACACGTGAGCCACCGCACCCAGCCTTAATTTTAATTTTTTTATTTTGCTTTTTTCTTTAAAAATAATTAAAATATTAAAGTATTCTTATTTTATTACTATTTAACTTTTGAGGACTTTTGTTATTCAGAATTATAGTCTAGCAAAAAAATGTATCTTTTGTTTATCTGTGTTATGTAACCAGGTTAATTTATTTTTCTTTTATGAACATATGTTGGATTAGAAAGTAAATTAGCACTGTAAAACCATGTTGAAGAGCATAAAGCATAATCAAAATGATAGATATTGTTGTTTTTGCTTGAGTTGTATTTTTGCAATTTAGGCCGGCATGATGGCACACGCCTCTAAGATCCCAGCACTTTGAGAGGCCAAGGTAGGTGGATCGCTTGAGTTGAGATCAGGATCTCTCAGGAGTTGGAGACCAGCCTGGGCAACACGGTGAAAGGCTGTCTCTACAAAAAAATTTAAAAATTAGTCGGACATAGTAGTGCACGCTACTGTAGTCCCAGCTACTTGGGACTTGGCTGAGGTGGGAGAATTACCTGAGCCTGCAAGGTGTAGGTTGCAGTGAGTCATGCCACTACACTTCAGCATGGGCAACAGAGTGAGACTCTCTTTCTCAAAAAAAAAGAAAAAAGAAAGAAAAAAAGAAAAAGGGAGGGAGGGAAGGAGGGAAGGAGGGAAGGAGGGAAGGAAGGAAGGAAGGAAGGAAGAAAGGAAGGAAGGAAGGAAGGAAGGAAGGAAGGAAGGAAGGAAGGAAGGAAGGAAGGAAGGAAGCAGGGAGGGAGGGAGGGAAAGAAGGGAAGGAAAAGATTCAACTTCTCTACTTGCCTCTCAGCCTTTTGGGTTACAATAAAGCCGGGAAGCCAGGAATCAATATAGCACACAAAACAGGTAGTGAACTGTGAATGTTTGGAAACTTGAGAGTCCACATAAATTATTCATAATACGGTCACTGTCTTTGGACTCAGAGAATATGCTCACACCCAGACCTGGCAAGCATTCTCACAAGCAGGTGTGTCCTTTGGTCCCATAGGGCCGGGTAGAAGAGAGAGTGCAGCTTGGGGCAATCTGTCACTCTATGTCTGCGTCAACTCAGAGCTTGAGCATTAGTAATAGTGGGCCAGAAGAATTTGAATAAAGTGAATGAGGCATAAGTACAATGGGCTTAGGTACAAAAATATCTTAAAGCAATTTAATATTGACATTATTTTAACACATTACATTTCCTTCTATTCTTCATTAAAGGTATTGCTAAGATACCAAAAAGGTTTTTTTTTTTAAGGTTTTTATGTTATTCTATCTTCTCCAAAATACCTTCCTTGATTTAGTTTTAGAAGAAGCCACAGGAACCAAAACTGAAAGTGTGACCTCTGAGAATACTCCATGCGAAACAAAGGTAAGAGTCGGCTACTTTATTTTTAGGGGGAAAGTTTGAAATTTGAGGAATGTTTAAAAAGGAATACAAATTTTCAAAAAATTGTACAATGACCATTAGAACAACACCAGCCTGTATTAGGTTGGCTTATTATTGCAATTTTGAGTGCACAATTAAATTTCCACAGCAAGTATATCATTTGACAGGACTAAAGCCAAAGCACCATTCTTGCAGGATCATTCCCATACCAAAGGCAACCTCATGTACGTGCAAAGAGGGCCTATGAAATATATAGGGAGATGATAAAAACAGCCTAAGCTCCTTCCTGTTTTTCCTGAGGGCCTGCTGACACTGCCTCCGATTCTCACACACTGCCTTTACAATCAGCAGAAGCATTAGCAAGGAGGTTCTGAAGTGCCAAAGTTTGGTTCTGAAATGAACTAAGATGTAAGCTTCGAATGGCAGCGGGGCCTGGGAACCGTCTGGCACTGCCTGGCCTTGTTTCTGCATTTGATGTGCTTCCAGCAGAGGGCCTTGTCATTCTCTCCTGAGCTGCCCAGGGTGTGAGAAAGAGCACCCTGGGCTGGGAAACAGAAAGGCAAAAACTTGAGAGGCTTTGTTGCATAATTTGTTGTTTGTTTACCAGTTAGATGCATAAAGGAACACTCAGTGCCTGGAGCCTGCCTGCGCATGCAGTGGAGTCAGCAGTCTTTTTCCATGATTAGAAAACATCAGGCTATTTGAATGAGAGCAAGTGATTTGCTAACGGCATGGCTTCTGTCTTGTCTAATAACACAGACCAATTATAGGAATCAATTATTCTTTGATGTCAAGAGTAGTTTATCAAGGCCAAGACAGAAGCTGTAAAAACTGGTTCCGTAAGCATTAAAAAGAGGCCTGCAAAAACAAACAAATAAAAAAAAAAGTGTTCAGTGGAAGAAATCCCACTTTGGGGTTAGCAAAGTTGGCACACATTTTATGAAAAGTTGACTCAGAGTCCCAGATTTTCTGTTGACATCGCATCTTAAATGTCTGTTGAAGATACTGAGGAGAGGGTTAGAAAGGAGCAAGCAGTGTTGCTTTGTTTGTTTTTTTCTGTGTCCTTTGTATGTAGGCTTGTTAAGTCAGTCCTGTGGAGGCTGGTTGGGATTAGAGGTGGATGCCCACTGAAGCTTTGTGTGCCTGTCTTGCAGATGCTGAAAGAAGCACACGTAGAACTGCTTAGGGACAGCACCACTAACTCCAAAGAAAATCCCAGCAGAAAGAGAAATGGAATGTACACAGATACACATTCACTGCTCAGTAAGAGGCTCAAGACATGAACAACTTGCATTTTAAAGCAAGATGCGATGTCCTGAGTAACAATGAGTAGATGTTTCTCATCAGTTAATAGCTCTATTGTACCTCTAATAGCGCTATTGTCACTCAGTTTAGATTCGTAAATAAAAAGGTAAATGAGTCATCAGTATAAACTAAGTGATAATCAAACTATGTCAAGATTATTAGTTCAGCCTGTTAATTTCCTTACTTGAGATTTCTGAAGCTACCTAATTTATTCTGTTAAATGTAAGCTTGCAAACTCAAAATTAAGTTGGCAGGTTTACCTCTCATGTTTTAATGTTTCAAATTAGAGAGCAAAATCTAATAGGTTCCTTTGCTTTTGAGACTTAGTGCCTTAAAATATGTCTTCTATAATGATTTTATAAGTAAAAGTATATTTATTGACTGTAATAAAATAAAATATGATGTAAACAAAAAAAATTACTAGAAAAGTGTTTACCTATCCTTTGTAGAGAATATTAAGGGTTGGAATGGTTAAAGCAAAGTCATTCAGAAAAAAATCACAAATGGTAAATACTAAAAAGTGATTGAATAATTCAGACCTCTGGCAAGGAACTTGGTTAATCATCATGCTGTGGGGATTGAAAAGGGAACAAGGAGTATACACAGAAACACACACATAAAGATGTTTCTGGAACAGCAGCAGTAACTGAAGCAGGGCATTCAGAGTCAGATTTCTGCTTTGTCTATTCACGGATTGTATCACTCAGACCAAGTCATTTACCTGCCAGGTAAGAAATTATCTTTTGAGACAGGGTAGTTGCCCAGGCTGGAGTGCAGTGGCACTATCACAGCTTACTGCAGCCTTGACCTCCCAGGCTGAAGCAATCCTCCCACCACTGCCTCCCAAGTAGCTGGGATTACAGGTGCACACTGCTGTGCCTGGCTAATTTTTTATTTTCTGTAGTGACAGGATTTCACCATGTTACTCAGACTGGTCTCAAACTCCTGACTTCAAGTCACCACCCACCAACTCCTGACCCACCTCGGCCTCCTGAAGTGTTGGGATTACAGGCATGAGCCACTGAGTCCAGCTGTGTTTTATTTTTTATTTCATAAAGAAAAGATAATTTTGCTACAGCTGTTTAATGACAGCTAAAGGGGAGGTTGAGAGGAAAATTAATTGTAAAAAGCTTCCTTCCTGAGTTCATCATAAAAATGCTGGGTCTTATTGTTAAACACTTTTTGCTCCTAAAACTACACTTGTGACTCTGTGGATCCTACTTGGATAATACTGAGGTTGGTTGCCAGGAGCGTGTGAGGAGGAGGTGGAAGAGAGGTCTCTGTGGTTTGCTTCTAGGGAGCAAGAGTATTTCGAGATTGTCAGAACTTTCACAGCCCAGATTGACACTCCTGTGAGCATATTTTGTTAGCATGCTCAGAGAGTGTGTGCCTCATCTTACCGGAGCTGTTATTATGCTAAAGAGACGGGGAAGAAGAAGAAAGCCTCATACCTATGTTGTGAGCTCTCCAAGTAGAAAATAATTGAAAACTAAGGCTTTACTTTTTGACATACTCCACTCTTCTTTATTACCTATAATTTAAGTTTTTATAACAAGGAAGAAAGATTAGAAATAAATGACTCCTTCCTGAATACAACAGACATACCACTTGTGAGTGAGGTTTCAGGTAGCTGCCTCATTTCCACGGTGTCAGAATCAAAAGTGCATCAGTGTGGTCCTCTTGGACCCCAGACACTGCAAATAATCTCAGGGCCACAACTGGACTCATCATGTCCCTTGTCCACAATTGAAATTCCACTCACCCTCAGCTAACACTTCCACCCATCTGGATGTGCACCAATCCTCATTCCTAAGGAGTCTGAGCCCCTGGTGACCACACCCTTCTTGGGCCAGGGCTGCTATCTTTGTCCATTCACAGCTACAATTAGACAAGAAGCACCAAGGACACCAAAGTGTGTCCTCTGGGTTCCACACATATCCTTCCTGCCACCACTGTGGAACAGCAGCCCTACCTACCTGCTGATCAAGGTCAATAAACCGTGCCAACGCAGTGACTCTTGCTGCTCCCTAGACATAAGGAGTCAAAGATGCTCAGGTATCAGTCATAGCTTGTAGTTTATCAGGACCCTTGCTTTGTCTCTTGGTAAAAGTGCACTGCCTTAAAGGACCAGGGCCTCCAACCTCCTTAAAGTTGCAGGGATGGAGAGAATAAAATTCTCCAGTGAGTCACTGAAGGTAAGTGGGGCCACTACCTGATTTTGCCTTTTGAATCTGGGATCCTATTGGAGACACAGTGACACATGGAAATCTCTGATTCAGCACAGCTACTGCATCCTGAAGGATAGCACCCCATGCTTGCAGACAATTGTCCCTGAGCTGACGCCTCACCTGCACCTCCAACAGTGTACTCCAATTCTACTAAGTTGGCTGCCTCTGGAGGTTGTGAGTGTAATACAGCTGGTCAATATCATGGGCATGGGCCCACTCCTGCATGTCTTCACTGTAGTGTGACTCTGCTCTTTGGATGATCTGATTTATGGGATTCTATGCCTGTGCATCAGGCACTCTATTCCTGTGGGAATAAATCTCTGGCTCCTCCAGGATGAAAGGGGGTCAATGAAGTCAATTTGCCACCAAGTGGCTGGTTGGTTTCCTCAGGGAATAGTGTCATATCGGAGGCTCAGTGTTGTTCTCTGCTGTGAGTAGATTATCTATGCCAGGGACCAATAGTTAAATCCGTCTTGGTAAGTGGGAGTTCATGCTGTTGACTCATACATGGCCTCCATCACTGACACTGTGTCCACCTTGTTCATGAGTCCATTGTGCCTGTTGTGAGGTGGCTGATGACAAAAACTGGCTAATGTCAGCCAGTCAAGTCATTTTGCCTAATTGGTTGTTCAATCCCTCTTCTGGGGCGGACACTTCTTAGTGGACATACACGTGATACAAAAATAACAAGTGGTATTTACTCCCTAAATCCATTTATGTGCCTCTATCCCGTATCTCTTTTGTCTCAGATATTCTAATACATTGAGACTCCTAGCTCGCTATCCAGACCACTCACTTCACCACTGCTCATAACACTATGTATACATGCATCTTACTCCTCCTAATACAGAAGGTGGATGACCAGGTGTGCCACTCAAAGTGCTGCCAATGAGAAGATTTTTTATTGCTGCTCTTTCAAGGTCACCATTGAGTGTGGCTAGAAAGCAGCCACCATCTGTTTTACCAAAATGGCAGGACTCTGATCTTCATAGAGTTTGTCTCCCACCCTTGCCAGCACGCTTGTTTTACCCAGGCCTCCAGTGTACTGGGCCACACTGAGGAGCACCTCTTGCCCCTCCTGCTGAGTCGGCATGGCATCATCAGCATAATGGATCACTGTGATACTCTGCAGGATGATCAGATGGTTTGAATCTGTTCATACTAAGTTATGACAGAGGGCAGGGGAATTAGCATAGTTCTAAGGCAAAAGCGTAAAGAATAGTGTCCATTTCATAGGAATGCAAATTATTTCTGATTTTCTTTCATGATCTGCTTAAAAATAAATATATTCCCCCCATTTAACAGCCATATATTATGTAGGCAAGGTCTTATTAATCTGCCCTGGCAACAATACTATACCTGGCACTGCAGCTGTAACTGGGGCTACTGCTTGGCTGAGTCTGCAATAATGTGCAGTCATTCTCCATAATTGTCATCTAGTCTCTGTGCCCTTCTGACAAATAGAAAGGAGATGTGATGAGGAGTAGAAACCACCACCCCTGCATTGCATCCTTTAAATTTTTAAGAGTGGCTCTAGTCTCCTCCCATCAACCCGCTAGAATGTGATATTGTCTTTGATTTATCCTCTTGGTTAGTTAAGGGATGTGGAGAGGTAGTTTCAGGTGCTCGAACCTTGCCTACCCAACTGTGATATCTCTTATTCCACAGGCCAAGGGCCCGGGGGTTTACTCCAACTGCCAAGTGCAGATGCTCCTCAACTTATGATGGTGTGAACTCCCAAGAAACACATTGTAAGTTGAAAATATTCTAAGTCAAAAATGTACTTAATGGCCCTTAAGCTCAGAAGCACTATAGGTTAAAAAAAAAAAAAAAGCACTTAATACACCTAACTTACTGAACATCCTAGCTTAGTCCAGCCTCCCTTAAGCACACTCAGAAGACTTACATTAGCCTGCAGCTGGGCAGTCATCAGGCAGCACAGCACATTGTAGACTCTCACTTGTTTATCCTTGTGATGCCATGGCTGTCTGGGAGCTGCGGCTCGTTGCCACTGCCCAGCATCACAAGAGAGTATCCTACTACACAGCACTAGCCCAGGAAAAGATCAAAATTCAAAATTTAAAGCACAACTGGTACTGAATGAGTATTGCTTCCCCACCATGGTAAAGTGAAAGAATTCCACGTGAACCATGGTATGTTAGGGAGTGTCTGTATTTCCATCCCAATCATGCATTCAGGGGCTGTGGAAATGACACAGGTGGCCTTGCCTAGTGAAGACTTGAGGAGCAGTGAATTTTCCTGCCCACATAGTCCAACGAGGCACTTATTTACCTGACTAAGATGATAAGGCTCTCTTTGGGCAGTACAGGCAAGCACATAAAAAGGCTTTAAACAGGGCACTTTGTAAAGAGGGTGGAGAGATGTTTTCCAGGGAGAGCGAGACAAAAAATATTCTCAATATCCAAGATAGGATATCAAGCTACATTTGGTTAGTTTTATTCAGAGGTAGTTGATATATTATGGTGCCATTGCAAATGGTATCCTTTCTTTTTTTTTTTTTGAGATGGAGTTTCGCTCTTGTTACCCAGGCTGGAGTGCAATGGCGTGATCTCGGCTCACTGCTACCTCCACCTCCTGGGTTCAGGCAATTCTCCTGTCTCAACCTCTGAATAGCTGGGATTACAGGCATGCGCCACCATGCCCAGTTAATTTTTTGTATTTTTAGTAGAGACGGGGTTTCACCATGTTGACCAGGATGGTCTCAATCTCTTGACCTCATGATCCACCCGCCTCGGCCTCCCAAAGTGCTGGGATTACAGGCTTGAGCCACTGCACCCGGCCTGCAAATGTTATCCTTTTAAAAAGGATTTTCTAATTGTTCTTGGTATTTAGAAAGTGATTTTGTTTTATTTATTTATTTTGAGACAGAGTTTTGCTCTTGTTGCCCAGGCTGGAGTGCAATGGAGTGATCTCAGCTCACTGCAACCCCCACCTCCTGGGTTCAAGCCATTCTCTTGCCTCAGCCTCCCAAGTAGCTGAGAATACAGGTATGCACCACCATGCCCGGCTAATTTTTGTATTTTTGATAGAGATAGAGTTTTACCATTTTGGTCAAGCTTGTTAATGATGAATTTTGTCAATCGATATGTGTATCTATTTAAAGGATGATGTGATTTTCTTCTTTCTTCTGTACATGTGGTGATTATATTGATTTTCTCTTCTTTTTAAAGCATGTGATCTTTTTCTAACTGACCGTTTATGCTTTCAGTCCTCTTTGAGGAATTCCTTTTCATTGTGTATTCTTTTAAAGACACTTTACATTATCACTTTATTTAAATTGTTAATTTCCTTCACATCAGTAGGCACTTTACATTTTGTTAAACTTTTCCTTCTCCAGGAAAATCCTTATAGTTTTTTTCTATATATTTTTCTCCCAAGTTTTTATTCTAAAAAATGTCAAAGCTTCAGTGAAGTTTCACATCATATCCCTCACCTGAATTTGCCAATTGTTCATATTTTGCCCCATTTGCTCTACTATATGCACGCACACACACACATGCACACAAACATGCACACACATACACGCATATACACACATATGCACACAAGCACACAAATACTGAGTTGGTTTTGGCTCAGCTACTAGAGCCATTTAAGATTTGTTTTTGGCTGAGCCACTTGAGATTTAGTTGCAGACATCAAAGCAATTTACCCCTAAATATTTCCCTTTGGCCCTTTGGCGTCAGGTGCGATGACTCACATCTATAATCCCAGCACTTTGGAAGACTAAGGGGAGAGGATTGCTTGAGTCCTGGAATTCAAGACCAGCCTGGGCAGCATAATGAGACCCTGTATTTACAAAAAGAGACAGAGGGGACAGCACAGTGGGGAGCGCGGTCTTTACCTCTCCCCAAAACAAGGAGTATTTTTCTCTGTCTCCCCTAAAAGCAAGGGCATTCTCCTACAAATCATTATAATTGGAACACTGACTATAATTGGAACATTTAACATTAAGTTATATTATCTAATGTATAATTCATATTCTGATTTCCTAAATTGTGTTAATAATGTCCTTGGTGCCATTTTTTATAAATTCAGAATCCTTTCTAGGATCCTGTTTAGCATTTAGCTGTTGCTTCTGTTCACTCTCCTTTAATCCAGAATATTTTTCTATTTTTTTAATTACATAGACATTCTTTAGGAGTCCAAGACAGTTGTTTTGAAAAAATGCCAATTTGAATTTAATTTTTCTCGTGATTAAATTCAGGTTAAACATTTTTTGGCAGGAAAATTACATTGATGATGTACACAAATGGATTTTCAAATGCTAAACTAGCCTGACATTAACCTACTTGGTCACGATGCATTATTACATATACATGTGGTATGCAAGGATTTTGTTTAGGATTTACATGTCTATGCTCCTGAGTGAGATTGGCCTGAACATTTCCTCTCAGATAATGTCCTTTTCAATTTTTAGTATCAGAGTTAGGCTGGCTTCATAAAACAAAGTCTACTCTTCTAGTCTCTGTACGTATTTGTGAAGATTAACATTGTTTATTCCTTAAATGTTAGGTAGAATTTACTGAGTGGCCATTTGAGGCTGCTATTTTTTGTGAGAAGGTCTTAAATTTTAATTTTTTTTCTTGAGACAGAGTCTCACTCTGTCACCCAGGCTGGAGTGCAGTGGTGCAATCTTGGCTCACTGCAACCTCCACCTCCCAGGCTAAAGCTATTCTCATGCCTCAGCCTCCCAAGTAGCTGGAACTATAGGTGTGCACCACCATGCCCAGCTAATTTTTTGTAGTTGTAGTAACGACAGGGTTTTGCCATTTTGGCCAGGCTGGTCTTGAGCTCCTGAATTCGTGATCCACTTGCTTTGGCCTCCCAACGTGCTGGGATTACAGATGTGAGCCACCACACCCAGCCACATTATAAATTTAATTAATTTCTTACCTGCTCCATTTTGGTCAGAGAACATACTCTGCATGCTATTATGCCTTTGAAAATTGTTGAAACTTAGTTTTTGACCCAGCATGTGGTCAATTTTGTTAAGAGTGTTACGTGTACTTGAAAAGAACATGAATTCTGTGTTCTATGTGTTATTAAGTTTTGACCCTGTTCAAAGCTTCTATATATCTTTATTGGAATGTTTGCTTGTCTGTAAGTTGCAGAGAGATAGGTGTAAAAGTCTCCTATAATACTCATAACTGTTTTATTTTATTTACAGATTTTATCATAATTTGTAGTACCATCAATTTTTGCTTTATAAAATTCAGAGTATATTACTACATGCATACAAATGTATAATTATTAAATATTCTTGAGAAAGAGTTTTTTACTCTTTTATTGCCAATTTCTGTGTCCATGAGTTTAGATGGACATCTTTTTTTTTTTTTTTTTTTTTTTTTTTTAATGAGACAGAGTTTCGCTCTTATTACCCAGGCTGGAGTGCAATGTTGCGATCTTGGCTCACTGCAACCTCCACCTTCCCCGGGTCCAAGTGATTGTCCTGCCTCAGCCTCCCAAGTAGCTGGGATTACAGGCATGCATCACCACTTACTGAGTGGCCATTTGAGGCAGATATTTTCTTTGTGAGAAATTTTGTATTTTTAGTAGAGACAGTGTTTTTCCATGTTTGTCAGGCTGGTCTCGAACTCCCGACCTCAGGTGATCCGCTCACTCACCTCAGCCTCCAAAAGTGCTAGGATTACAGGTGTGAGCCACCACACCCAGCCTAGATGGGCGTCTTATAAATAGCATATAGAGTTGCGTTTTTTATTCAGTCTGACAATCTTCGTCTTTTAAATTGAGCATTTCTATGTAATGTACTTCTGATATATGTGAATTTAAATATATGTTTTTATTAATGATCATTTGTTCTACTTGTTGAGTTTTCCTTTTTCTCTCCTTTCTTGTTTTCTTTGGAATATATTTGAGCATTTCTTTTACTTATCCAATTTATCTGGATAGATTGAGCATTTTTTTAATCATTCCATTTGTTTCTCACCCATCCTGAATCTGGAAGTGACTTGCCATTTTACCATTTTTAGGTGGTTACCCCAGAAATTACAGCATACATCCTCGACTCATTAAAATCCAATATTGACTGAGATTTTTGTCCTCTTCCTTATTAATACAAAGACTTTAGAATACTTTTACTTCATTTATCACACCCTGACTGGAATGTTACTTTTGTGTCTTTTAAGTGTGTAACTTTGGGCCTAACTCCATCTATATTTATAAATCTGTAGGTTGGTGCAAAAGTAATCGTGGTTTCTGCCATATCTGTGTTATTTTATATGCTTGGTATTATATTAGATTTACATATATCACAATTGCTTTTTCTTCTGGATGAGGTGCCCACAGTCTCAGAGGCAGAGCTGGGACTAGCACACCCAGAGGACTCTGACTCCCGGGCCAGTCACATCTTTTAAAAATGTTTAAGTCAGACACATAAAGAGTCATCAACTGGCATGGATGGTTGACTCTCCTAATGAAATACAACCAAACCAGTTATTTTGATGAATTGATTCTCAATTGCTAGCAAGCAAGAAGCAAAACTGTTTATCAATCAGTGACAGAGTTGAAAATCTTAATTAGGAAAATTCACCCGAGTGACACAGTAAAAATACACTATAATTCTACCAGGTATTATTGACTTGAACGTAATGAAACATTGGCCACTCAGTAGAAGTTATAGCCACAGTTATTGCATGAGGTCAATTCTCCATAACAAGTCCTTATAAATGTAAGTATGTATAAGCATAAATGTGTGTGTATGTGTCTCATATAGAAAGATACAGATATCCTAGAGGTTCTTCTTTCACTGTTGAACTCTGATACATTATACAAAATACTTTCTGACCATAATGAAATTAATCTAGAAATCAGTAACAGAATAATAACAAAAAAGTATACAAACAATTGGAAGTTAAACAACACACTTCTAAGTCATGGGTCAAAGAGGAAGTTTCAAGGAATATTAGAAATGGTAAATGTTAAACATTAAATACATCAAGTTTCAGTGTTGCCCTATAGCACCTGGAGTGCATTAATACATTCTCTATTGATTAAAGAGTATCTTGGCTTGGGTTTCCTAGAAGCAGAGCCTAAGACAGGGATTCATGTGTAAAAATTTATTTGGCCTCAGAAAGATCTTTAGAACAAAAATTACATTGCACAATTAACCCGCCTTAACAAGGAGCCAGGCCTTTATTATATCAGGAAATCATTGCTGCAGACAAAGGATGAGGCTATTTTTAGGTATCTCTGGGGCAGCCAGCCCCACTGGGCAGAAGGCCATTCTCCAGAGAAAGGGGCAGCTGTGGGCCATCAGCAGCTTACAACAAATGGGGACTGAGTGCGCCAGCCTGACAGATGTGTCTGGGTGGGGCACCAACAGCATCCATGAAGAAGAGTCTCTTCTTTTAGAAGAGATTTTAGACATCATTTATTTGTTTTGACATCTCTAATACATTTTCTCATTTTTTGAGGCGTAAGGTTTCTGAGCATGTGGAAAACATTTTAAAAACATTGTTGTTGTTTATTCTTAAATCAGTGCATCCTTATTGTTCTGGTCCAGTGGGCCCAGAACAATAAGAAACCCCTCTTTCCATTAGACACAAATCTAGTCATAGGCAGGAAACATTAAGATGTGCTCCTCAGTGTGAACTTTCATCTGCATGAGTGAGGTTAAGTCCAGAGAACCACAAGCGCAGGGTGGGGCTCACCGTCCCTGTGTCCAGACTACAAGCACATTGGCTTACAGGTCAGAGGTCAGAGAAGGATCTGCTGAACGCACTGGGAGACTGGAGTTCTCTCCCAGCTCTGCCACTCAACCACTGTGTGATGTCAGTGAGTCACAGTTTTTGGAATCCATTTTTTCATCTGTAAAATAAGAATAATAACACATGTGCAAGCTACTGCGTAGGTGATTGTGAGAATGAAATGATACATTTGAGAATGCTTAGAAACCAGGGCTGTACTAATGTAAGCTTAGTACCAACTTTGAAAACTCAACACATCTGACCAGGATACTGAACAACTTCTGGTTTCTGCCCCAAAGATTAAGGTAGCAGAAACTACCAAGGGAAAACAGATGTCACTGTGTGACACCCTTGGGTGGGGATGTCTTGAACTCTGTGTCTGAAAGTTGGGGAAGGGCGGGACTGGGAAGGAGACAGCCCTGCTGGTTTAAAGAGAGACTAGGAGGAAAAACTTCTGGGTTCTGCCCTGGCTCCATCTCTGCCACTGCCTTGGGATACAGTGTCTTCAGAACTTAGGTCCAGGTGTCCTCAGGAGTAATATGGTAGCGTAAAGTCTGTGGGAGGAATGTGTGTAAGGACTAACTGACCTCAAGCTGTTCCTTTCCCATCCCTCCTCCTCCAAGCCTCCTGGCCAAGAATGGCCGTCTAAACTGGGCCTCTCTGTCCTAAGGCTCTTCTCCTAGGTATAAAGCCTGGAATAGTGACTGTGTGAGGTGGGGTGTGCTTGACTAGGTTTCTAAAGCCCAATGCTCCTCCACCCACTGCACCCTGGTCCCTGAGCTTGGGGATCCTGGTCTTCCCTCATATGCACTGCCCCACCCAGTAACCAATAACTCATGTGGTGAACACAGTCACAGGACAAAATAGCAAGACATTTGAGAAGCATAAGCATTTCAAAAATTAAAACAAACACAAAAGATTACAAGTAGCAAAACTGGCCAAACTATTAGAAAAAAAATTAAGAGTTTTAAATTAGCTTAATAAACATATTAAAATAACTAAGGGAAGATAATGACATGAAGCAAGGACAAAAAGACATTAAAAAGCCAGGAATATTTTTATTAAAAAATACAAGAGCAATACGAGTTCTGAATTTTTGTTTGTTTTTTGAGATGGAGCTTCCCTCTTGCTGCCCAGTCTGGAGTGCAACGGTGCGATCTCAGCTCACTGCAACCTCTGCCTCCTGGGTTCAAGCGATTCTCATGCCTCTGCTTCCCGAGTAGCTGGGATTAGAGGCATGCACCACCAGGCCAAGCTAATTTTTGTATTTTTAGTAGAGACAGGGTTTCACCATGTTGGTCAGGCTGGTCTTGAACTCCTGACCTCAGGCGATTCACCCACCTCAGCCTCCCAAAGTGCTGGGATTATAGGTGTGAGCCACTGCACCCAGCAATACTTCTGAAAATTAAGCATGGATTAGAAGAATCATATGGAAGTCTTGTTAAAACAAATAGTTGGACCCTGCTTTAGAGTTTCTAATTTGGCAGGTGTTACATGAGAACCAGGGATTTTGCATTTTTTTAATTTTTATTTTTTGAGACAAAGTCTCTCTCATTCTGTCTCCCAGGCTGGAGTGCAGTGGCATGATCTTGGCTCACTGCAACCTCCGCCTCCTGGGTTCAAGTGATTCTGCTGCTTCAGCCTCCCGAGTAGCTTGGATTAGAGGTGCATACCACCACACCCGGCTAATTTGTTTGTATTTTTAGTAGAAACGGGGTTTCTCTATGTTGGCCAGGCTAGTCTCAAACTCTTGACCTCAAGTGATCCACCTACCTTGGCCTCCCAAAGTGCTGGGATTACAGGCATGAGCCACTGCACCCAGCTTAGGATTCTGCATTTCTAACAAGTTCCCAGGTGATAGTGAGGCTGCTGGTCTGCTGAACCCACTTTAAGATTTAATTAAAGAAGAATAGGACACATAGTTGGGATAATTGGAAGAATATATACAACTGAGGGAAAAAAGTCAGCAAATTAGAAGATTGAGAAACCCTCCCATAGCAAAGAAGAAAATACAAATGTAAAACAATTGTTCTTAAATCTCTTTTTTTTTTTTTGAGACAGAGCCTTGCTCTGTCACCCAGGCTGGAGTGCAGTGGCACAATCTCAGCTCAATGCAACCTCTGCCTCCTGGGTTCAAGTGATTTTCACGCCTCAGCCTCCCAAGTAGCTGGGATTACAGGTGTGTGCCACTGTACCAAGCTAATTTTTGTATTTTTAGTAGACATGGAGTTTCACCATGTTGTTCAGGTTGATCTCAAACTCCTGACTTCAAGTGATCCACCTGCCTTAGCCTCCCAAAGTGCTGGGATTACAGACTTGAGCCATAGCACCTGACCCTGTCACCCAGGCTATAGGGCAATGGTGCAATTTCGGCTCACTGCAACCTCCACCTCCTAAGTTCAAGCAATTCTCTTGCCTCAGCCTCCCGAGTAGCTGGGATTACAGGCACCTGCCACCATATCTGGTTAATTTTTGTATTTTTAGTAGAGATGGAGTTTCACCATGTTGGCCACCTGGTCTCAAACTCCTGACCTCAGGTGCTCCACCCACCTTGGCTTCCCGAAGTGCTGGGATTG